TGGCCACACCCCACAGCTTCCAGGATCTTAGTTCCCCTGTCAGGGACTGAGCCCCAGCTTCTCCTAACCAGTGGACCACGAGAGAATTACCAAGATCATCATTTCCAAATGCAGTAGTTTCTTGCACATCTCAAGCAACATTTCCACATGAGTTTTGCTTTTTTTTTAAGGGAAACATCTTTAGTATCTCTGGAATTTTGCTTGCTGTTATTTTGTTGCACTTTTAATTGAATAGATAATGTTTTAGGAAATATTGTATTTAAATAGAGTGGTGAGCTTACTGAGGGCAAAGTACCACATCTGCTCACACACTCCTAGTATCTTATATAGTTTCTGGTCTACAAAGACTGCAGAAACAATATTAATTGACTAAAGAAAATTCTAAAATTTTAATAATTAATATTTTACAAACAAGCTTTATTTGGCCATTATTTCTTTTAACTGGAGCAAGGCTCACAAAACAAGAATTAATACATTTTCTTTCTTTAACCTTACTGTATGACTCAAATTGTCCTTATCATATTATAATTTTTAAAATTAAATGCTATGTCTAAACCTAGAAATAGTTATTTAGAACATCAGTCCTTTCCTGTTTTATGCTTTGAGGTAGAGGAAAAAATGTCCCATAAAAAGTAAATTACATATATGCAATTCTGCATCCAATTCTAGATATTCATATTTAAATTTTAATAGTTTTAAGGAGTATATTTTAGTAATTCTGTGGAAATAAAACCATTTAAATGCTTTTTACTGTTTGTAAATATCATTCAATGCCATCAACAGGATAATCTCTCTTCTTTCCAGATCTCATTTTCTCCACAACAGGTTTCCATGACAACTTATATTTAAATTTTTATAAATTTCTAATATATTTTTAAGGATACAGTTCACAAGTATAAAATATAAACTTATTTACCAAGTTAACCTGAACAGTTTAGACTGCCCAAATATGTATTTACATCATAAATTATAAGCAACAGAGGAGGGGGCAATGCCAACCAAAACGAAAGGCAAAAACACAGTGTTGTAAAATTCAATTACCCAGTTCCTATCACTGTTGTTTCAGTGGGCCACTTTAGACTACATAAGTCAGAAGTAAACAAATCTACTATATAATCAAGTCACTCCCCTCAACACTGGGAAAGGATAAGGACAATGATGAAACAAGTATAACAAATTGAAAACAGAATTTGCACAGTTAAAATTGTTCATCTCAAGTACATCAATAAAAGATGAACTAATGTAAAATGAAAAAGGGTTTATAAAAGTTAAATACTTCAATTTTGTTGCACTTTTAATTGAATAAATAATGTTTTAGGAAATATTGTATTTAAATAGAGTGGTGAGCTTACTGAGGGCAAAGTACCACATCTGCTCACACACTCCTAGTATCTTATATAGTTTCTGGTCTACAAAGACTGCAGAAACAATATTAATTGACTAAAGAAATTCTAAAATTTTAATAATTAATATTTTACAAACAAGCTTTATTTGGCCATTATTTCTTTTAACTGGAGCAAGGCTCACAAAACAAGAATAAATACATTTTCTTTCTTTAACCTTACTGTATGACTCAAATTGTCCTTACCATATTATAATTTTTAAAATTAAATGCTATGTCTAAACCTAGAGAATAGTTATTTAGAAGATCAGTCCTTTCCTGTTTTATGCTTTGAGGTTGAGGAAAAAATGTCCCATAAAAAGTAAATTACATATATGCAATTCTGAATCCAATTCTAGATATTCATATTTAAATTTTAATAGTTTTAAGGAGTATATTTTAGTAATTCTGTGGAAATAAAACTATTTAAATGCTTTTTACTGTTTGTAAATATCATTCAATGCCATCAACAGGATAATCTCTCTTCTTTCCAGATCTCATTTTCTCCACAACAGGTTTCCATGACAACTTATATTTAAATTTTTATAAATTTCTAATATATTTTTAAGGATACAATTCATAAATATAAAATATAAACTTATTTACCAAGTTAACCTGAACAATTTAGACTGCTCAAATATGTATTTACATCATAAATTAAAAGCAACAGAGGAGGGGGCAATGCCAACCAAAACGAAAGGCAAAAACACAATGTTGCAAAATTCAATTACCTAGTTCCTATCACTGTTGTTTCAGTGGGCCACTTTAGACTATATAAGTTAGAAGTAAACAAATCTACTATATAATCAAGTCACTCCCCTCAATACTGGGAAAGGATAAGGACAATGATGAAACAAGTATAACAAATTGAAAATAGAATTTGCACAGTTAAAACTGTTCATCTCAAGTACATCAATAAAAGATGAACTAATGTAAAATGAAAAAGGGTTTATAAAAGTTAAATACTTCTATTAAGAATGACATCAGTAAGACCACAGCTGAAACAAACCACTTGATAATTGATTTTATGTCTCCTAGAATCATGTCCATGAAAAATATAATTTCATCCAGTGACCTCCCAATGTAATTCTATTTACCAAAGTAGTCAGATAATATTGTCAGTCAATCATGTGAACTATAAGTGTCCATAAAAAATATTAAATCACATGTAAATAGAATGGTGACTTCTGAGTACTTTTTTTAAGCGACCCTTAATAATTTGAAAAGGAATTTTTCTGAAGACAAGTCCCACAAATGTTAGCCAATCTGGGGAAAAAAAAGGAAAAACATTACATATAAACTGGTCAATAAAAATCAAAAGTTAGAACAGGGTTCATTTTAAGAAAACTGGAATCCCATATTTGCACTCTAATGTTGGGTGGTGCAACCGAAGACTGGGGAAAAAATGTATATGTATGCATACACACACACATATACACACACAGAGAGACATGTCATAGATGACCTTTCAAAGTTAGAAGACTAAGGACTGTCCTATGCTGCATTAAATCTCAAGAGCAACACTACCTGCAGAGATTTCACAAGCCAGATAGTCAGTTATAATCAGTGGTTGCGGTGGAAAGGGCCTGGGAAGGGTGTCACGAGGCCTTCAGCGTCATTTTGGCTTTGCTAATAACTTGCTCCATGACCTTGGCCATCACTTAGCATCTGCAGTCTTCATTTTCCTCATCTGCAAACTACAGGTTCCTCATGAGGTGACCTCAACGAAATTTTCCAGGTCTCTCATTCTCAGCTGATTCTGTTTCCAATGGCTCTTTGAACTTAAATTAATCTCTAATCTATCTGTGTTCTTTTCCTCACCTAAAATGGATGCAGGTCAAATTCTTAATATTATTACAATAAAATCTTAGTAAGATTTTTAAAAAACTATTTTCAAGTTAATGCACTACCCTTGGACCATTAATTCATAGAACCAAATTCCATAGCAGTAATAACCTTGAAGCTGTTCCTGTGCAACCTAGCCTACAAAAAGTGCATTTTATTATCATGAATAAAGATAATAAAACATCCTGGTTTTTTATACCACATAAAATAACAAAATTATACGATGAGTCTGAAAACAAATGCAGATTATCTTTTTAGTCACCAACTGGACTATGGCACACAGCTGGAATCCAAAACAACAAAGATAATGGTCATGAGTCTGTGATTTCATTTAAATAAATAAATAAGTGAACTTTTTTTTTCCTGAATGCCAACTCTTGCTGAATTCATAGAATGGTCTTAAAAGGAAGATCTCAGAGTTGAAGTTATTAATTTTATATTCAAATATGAGAATGTGGACACAATAGAATTTATGTGTGCACTTAAATACCAGATCCCATAAAGTAGCAATGCTTTAAATTGTCTCTTTGATAGTCTATATCAACTTGCAAACAAAATACAAGCTTGGACTTCTAAAGTGGTATCAGAAGCACATCTTCTGACATGTTACCAGATAGCTGCACAATGTCTCAGATGCAGAGACTTCTGACATGCAGAGGAACACAATGATGAGGATGGAGCCAAACTCAAGCTGAAAGAATTCCCATTTTGCACAAGGAGGATCTTTTCTGGGTGTCAGAAGCAAACCAGACACATTCAGTTGCAAAGATTTAACTAAATACAGTACTCCATTCTCACATATAATCAAAAGCCATCCACATGCTGCATAATTTGGGGTTATTTCTATTTCTTTTATTTCCTTTAAAATTAGAGTAACCATTATTAGTTACTTTTATCATCTCTTCATTGGGATTTTGAAGAATCAATCCAGTGTCAAAGACTAAATTTAAACTGTCACTCAAACTAGAAACTGAAAAGCAACACTGAGTATGGGATCAAAATCTATAGAATAAAATAAAGTTGCCTACAATCTAAATTAAGAGACTCCCACTGAACCAGGGTCACAGAAGTGTCCAGTCAGCATTGAACCTGTAAAAGACACAGCGCAAAGGGAAAGACAAGACACTCCAAAATTCACTGCGCAGGTGGGCTATCCCGTCAGCTCACTGGGGCAAGCGGACTCAGCACTGCTCTCCCTCGGATGGAGACAGGACCAAAAGATATTCAGGAGGTTCTCTTTCCAAGATGAACCTGTTCATCTCCCGGCCCAGCCACAGACATATATTCCGTTTCCCTCTCTACTGTCCTCAGATTAGATTCCTAAGTGGGGCCACTGCTCTGGGTGAGTCAGGAGTGCCAGACCTCACTGGAAAGATCAAACCCTGATGATCGGAAGGCCTGGAGGACCCTCGGAACTCAAGAAAAGGTTGGAATAAAAGAGAAAAAGAAATTCCACAGGAAGCATGGTAGCGATTTCAGAACGAGGTTCCAAGAGACTTGCCCAGAGTAGTGGACATTCGCCCTGCTGGTCCCACCTGGGGAAGTAAATCTCGGTTTGAGTTGAGGAGGAGAGAAGGGGGAGGCTGAGAGAAACGGGGCGGGGGGTAGGGGGTAGAAAGGGAACGAGGGAGGGGGGCCCTGAGTTTGCCCTGAGCGACGGGCCCCCCACCTCCCAATTAGGGACACCCTGGCTGCTCCGCAAGGCCCTCTGCAGAGAGAGCAGAGGGGTTAGGAGAAGCTGGAGCAGCAGGGAAGGGGGCGCCTCTGGCCTTACCCGGGCGGCTCTGGACGAGTAGGGGTCCTCGAAGAGAGCCCACATGCGGGGCTGCAGCCTCCTCCAGCGGCCAGACTTGCCGTCGGGGCCCCCCAGGCCCGCGGCGTCCTCGATGCCCAGAGGCAGGGTCTTGAGGGTGCTGCGGTAGGTTTCGTGCCGGGTGCCCCCGACATTGAGGATCACCCTCTCGTTGCTCTCGATCTTGCCCATCTCTGTGCCTCAGACATGACTGGGGGGAGGCGAACACAGCGCCAAGTTAAAGAGCGCGGCTGGCGGAGGCGCGCTGTGTCCCCCGCCCCCACTCCCAGCCCCAGCACCCCAAGATGCAGCGTGGACGGGGAGGCGAGGGGCCACGGGGCCTCCCTGGAGAAGTCCGCCGCCCAGCCCCGTCCCCGCCTCGAGCAGCACTGAGCCTTCCCCGGGTTTCTAGAGAACTGAGACAGCAGTGCCCATCTTCCTTGACCTTTCACGACCCCTCTCCCCCAGCCTCACACCTTTCTCCCTCAGCTCTGCCTCCTGCATCTTCTCACCCCTCACCTTCTCTCAAGTTGAACCCGTTTCCAGTCCCTACACCTCCCCGGCTCTCTTCCCAAACCTCATTTTCCCCTCCGAGGTCCTTCCGCGTCTTCCTCTCCCGCCCCATCCTCTCCCCAACCCGCTCCTTTTCCTCGCTCACAGGGAGACCCGCTTCCCCCTACCCTCTCCGGGAGGCAGTTCCCTCAGGCAAGGAGTTCTCTGTGCCCAGGCAACTTGACAGTGCTGGGTGAGAAACCCCCGGACTGGGCGGCGAGCCCCCCTCAAACGCCTACCCTCGGTGAACTCTGGGCGGCCCGCCGCTCCCAGGCTCCCGGGGACTGCCCTCCGCACGACCTGTTCTCGGTTCACCTCTCCTCTGCCTCCCGGGCCAGGCAAACAGACCGAACGCAGAAGTCGGAGCAAAAACAAACGTCCCTGCTAGTGCCTTTCACCAAGGAGACCTCTGCCTAATTTCCTGATCCAGTTTTCTTTTCACATGATCGCTGTGCAAATTATTATTACTTGGGAGAGGAAACGACTCACTAGAATCCATTTTGGAGAGTAGAAGTGATCCACGCATCCCACCCCAACCCCCCTTCGCAAGAGAAACAAACGCCTCTCGGGAGGAGAGTCAGGGGCTGCTTCCCAGGAGGGGCGAGTGGGGCGGCTCCCCGAGGGCAAGCCGCTGGAGGCACGCCCCCTGCACCACCGAGTTGGGAGTCCTGGTGACCGTGTCCCCGTTTCCGACCTCCCAGCCACCTGTCCCCGGGGCTTCGGCTCTCCATTCCTGGAGCGGAACGGAGCGGGGATGCCTGCCTCGCGGGCTCTGCACGTCCTTCCCTGCAAACCCGCCCCTCGCCCTGCCGCCCCTAGTTACCTTAAGGAGACCGAGAGGAAAGTGCTGCTGCTCCGGCGTCCGAGCGGACGAGGGGCTCGGGGCAGCCCGACTGAGTCCCGACGCCCAGCCCAGCCGCCCCGCGCCAACGAGAAACTACTTGTTGGCGTCTTCCGGGTGCAGGTGGTTGGGCCGCTGCCCCGGGGGCCGAGCTCTCGGAGACAGCGCCCGCCGGCCTCGCGCCGCGCCGCCCGCCCTCATTCCGCGAGCGGCGGGCGCTCCCCGCGCCGACCTCGGCGCCCAGAGGCAGCATCGCGCGGNGTCCCCGCCCTCTCTGGAGCGGCTGTCCGCCCTGTTTACACCCCACTCTCCACACCCTTTCTCTTCCCGCTACCCAACCCCTCCCAACAAGTGAGAGCGAAAATCTGAGACCAAGCGCGGTTTTTTGATTTGGTTTTGTTTTTCTTAATGGCAGCCGGAGGGAGCGAGCTCTACTTACAGGTGACAAGTGAGTCCGGTCTCCGGCGTCTTATCCATGGCTGTGGCTTGCTCTTTTCAGTCAAATGTAGGTCTCCAGTCACCACATCATGGTTATATAAAACAAAACAAGTTTTAAAAGTTTATTCCAGGAACATAAGGCTCTAGCAAGTGAAAAGTCAGGTTTATCAGAAGCTTAAAAAGACAAACTACAGATATCCAAATACCAAAGCAGTGATCTCATTAGCCAGTTTCTCCCTTTATAAAAATTTAATTGGGCCCTGTATTAGTTTGCTAGGGCTGTCAATAATAGAGTACCACGAACTGGGTTTTTTAAACAGCAGAAATTTATTATCCCCCAGTTCTGGAAGCTCAAAGCTCCAAATTAAGGTGGTGTCAGGGTTGGTTTCTTCCGAGGGCTGTGAGGAATGGACCTCTTCCAAGCCTTTCTCCTCGGTTTATAGATGGCTGTCTTCGCGCTTTGTCTCAACCTCATTTTCCGTTTATGCACGCCTGTCTCTGTGAACAGATTTCTCCTTTGAACACTAATCATACTGGATTAGGGCCCACCTTCATGATTTCATTTTAACTTAATCACGTCTGTAAAGACTCTAACCACAAAGAAAGGGACACTCTGAGGTACTGGAGGCTAGGAGTCCCACATCTCTTTTGGGGGGCTGTGGTGATTGGGGGGAGCTTTGAGGGGGAGCCTAAGACACAGTTCAACCCATATTAGACCTTACCACCAAACAGAGGGTGCGTTTCTGTGACTGTGTGTATATTTCTAGAAAGAAAAGGTTGGAAGAGAGAGCCCACAGCCCATGGAGATAGTTTGATGGGACTGACGTTGAAGTCCATGGAGTAGGTGAAAGCGTGCCTGAAGAACAGATACTAACATAGACACTGTGGAAAGAGCAAGAGTTGTGAGTACTAATGGAAATGTTTTAGCAATATACAGTACTACAAGATAGGCACTTAACTATAAACAACTCACTAAAGAAAATTCCTACCTGTTAAGACTGTAAATACCTAAACAAAGTGAAGAAAGATCTTTGGAAGGGCACTGATGTCTAGGAAACTAATGCAAGAAAATATGGTAAGTATACATTTGTAAGAAATTTACTAACAGTATGACAGTAAATGTGTAATAACAACCTACCTAGTCTTGTGAAAGTATAAATTTGTTTTCCTAACATGTAAAGAAATGTAACACAAATACTGAGGTAATGATTCTAGTTTTACAAGGGCATGGAGGCATTTCTTGAGATAACAGTAATAGTATATTCGGTTGTCAGAAATTTGCAAAGAAAAATTGTATTCAAATTCTAACATGCATTCTCATTATTGTCTAGATAGTTCCTTATATAGCTTTAGTGTAAATTCAGTAGGGAGAAAAAGGTATATGGTTTGCTTTGAAATAAATTAGCAATAGTAAGTATAGTAGCAGCAGCATTTATAATAATAGCATTTACTGAGAGCTTCCTATGTGCAAAATGCTTTACATAAATTACTCCTGTTGATTTAAATAGAGGAAATATTTATACTAAATTACAAGACTTCCAGAAAGATAACTCATACAGATGGCAGGAATCAATAATGAAAGCCTTTAGCTTGGTANCCTGTTGATTTAAATAGAGGAAATATTTATACTAAATTACAAGACTTCCAGAAAGATAACTCATACAGATGGCAGGAATCAATAATGAAAGCCTTCAGCTTGGTAATGTTAAGGCTGTATTATAAAGGCTCTATATAGAAATGAAAAGAAAGGAGGAAAATGATGCAGAGGACTCATGGGGGAAAGGAAAAGACAAAGACCTAATGAATCAAGTTCAGTCTGAGATTATATAATCTTCTCTGGAAATAATCACATTGGCAAAAGGATCTCTTTTAGAATAATTCAGAATTTTCTTGTGATTCATAAGAATAGCTGTGAAAACAGAGAAGATTTGGGATAAATCTATGGATCTCATGAAACCACATTGTGGCTGTCGGATGGCATACTTGTCATGTTTTAACATTTGAACAAATTAACTCTTTTAAAATCCAATAGAGGATTATTAAATATTATTAACCTTAAGGAAGGAACATGTTCATAAGCAAGATTTCTCTGCAGTAGTCTTAATAAATGACTGTGTTTTCCCATCCCTTCCTTTAGGTATGCCCTTTTGTAATGTGATTTTGCATCTTCTCCCACTAAGTCTGTTTCTCCAGCCCTTGAATCTATACTGACTTTGCATCTTGCTTTAGCCAACAGAAAAAGTAGAAGTGATTCTGTACCAATTCAACACCTTGGCTTCAAAAGGTCTTGCATGCTTCTGCTCACTCTTTCTTGGAAACTTACCCTACAGCTATGACAAGACTTAGCTGACCTGCTTGATGGAAAGAGACATATATTGCAGTGTCCTCCCACCCCACCCCAAACACACACATCTCTTTGGTGCAAAGAAAAATAGAACTAGAAAATAAGTAAGAGGACATAATAGAGCAAGGATTTAAAAGAAATAAACATCTAAAAGATATGAAGTACCCCCCACCAATAGCTAAAACCTCCTCTCTGCCCCTAGAGGATGGCCAGCTAATCTCCAGAGTTAGAACTGCCTTGCTCTTATGCATGTGTCCAGAAGAGCTGTCCCAGACGTGCTAACACACAGAATCAAGAGCTAAAGAAAAAACTATGTATAGAGGCTATTAAGTTTTGGAATGCTTTGTTATACAAGCTGATTCATCCTCTAAGCCCCCTTCATCTGAAAATTAAAGGACATGAACCTACTTACCTGCTCTCTTAACAGTAACTAACATTTATATCATGTATTGTGAATTCTAAAACACCCCAGCAATATATGATATATATTTTTCCTCAAGCTATAATTTTTTGAAAGGTAGTAATTCATGATGGTTAATTCCACAGGCCTTGGAGACAGGTAAAATGAAGTTTTATCTTCTGAGTGTTGCTTGCTAGGTATCTGACCTGGAATAAAGTACTCATCTCCTTGAGCCTCAATTTCCCTTTTCATAAAATAAAAAGATGTCACTATAGTTACTATGGGGATTAAATGACATAAGGCCAATAAAACACTTACATTTCTAGCATATTTTAGGCATCTATGAATAGTAACTTTTATTGTCAAATGAGGAAGATGTCTCATCCCAAAGTCACCTAGTTAATAATTGGTAGGAGCAGACCATAACCCAAGTTTTTGATGGCAGTTCTAACCCTTAACTTTTACAGCACACTACCCTGTAGAGAGGTCAAAACTGGTTCAAATAT